AGATTTGTCGGCTGCACATCCATGATGCGAATCTCCCGTTCCACCACATCCCAAAGATGCTCTTTTGGGTTGAGATCTGGTGACTGTGGAGGCCATTTTAGTACAGTGAACTCATTGTCATGTTCAAGAAACCAATTTGAAATGATTAGAGCTTTGTGACATGGTGGAAGTAGCCATCAGAGGATGGGTACATGGTGGCCATAAAGGGATGGACATGGTCAGAAACAATGCTCAGGTAGGCCGTGGCATTTAAACGATGCCCAATTGGCACTAAGGGGCCTAAAGTGTGCCAGGAAAACATCCCCCACACCATTACACCACCACCACCAGCCTGCACAGTGGTAACAAGGCATGATGGTTCCATGTTCTCATTCTGTTTACGCCAAATTCTGACTCTAACATCTGAATGTCTCAACAGAAATCGAGACTCATCAGACCAGGCAACATTTTTCCAGTCTTCAACTGTTCAATTTTGGTGAGCTCTTGAAAATTGTAGCCTCTTTTTCCTATTTGTAGGGGAGATGAGTGGTACCCGGTGGAGTCTTCTGCTGTTGTAGCCCATCCGCCTCAAGGTTGTGCGTGTTGTGGCTTCACAAATGCTTTGCTGCATACCTCGGTTGTAACGAGTGGTTATTTCAACCACTGTTGCCCTTCTATCAGCTCGAACCAGTCTGGCCATTCTCCTCTGACCTCTGGCATCAACAAGGCATTTCCGCCCACAGAACTGCCGCTCACTGGATGTTTTTTCTTTTTCGGACCATTCTCTGTAAACCCTAGAGATGGTTGTGCGTGAAAATCCCAGTAGATTAGCAGTTTCTGAAATACTCAGACCAGCCCTTCTGGCACCAACAATCATGCCACGTTCAAAGTCACTCAAATCAACTTTCTTCCCCATACTGATGCTTGGTTTGAACTGCAGGAGATTGTCTTGACCATGTCTACATGCCTAAATGCACTGAGTTGCCGCCATGTGATTGGCTGCTTAGAAATTAAGTGTTAACGAGCAGTTGGACAGGTGTACCTAATAAAGTGGCCGGTGAGTGTATATATATATATACTGTATGTATATATGTATAAATGCATGCATGACACTGAAAACAGGAGTAATGGCTGATAAAAATTCAGCTTTGCATCACAGAGATAAATTATATTAAATTAGAAAACATTTTTAAAAACATAATTTTAAATTGTAATAATATTTCACAATATTACCATATATATATATATATATATATATATATGCTCTCTTAATCTCTTTCATTCAAAGCACAAACCACAATCACCCCATCATGGCCAAGCGCGTTACGAAACCAATTACCAGCAAACACTGTTCCCATGAGCCACAACAATAAACTCAGGAGAAAAACAGAACATAAACCAGCTGGAGAAGAATAGTTGTTTGAATCCATCCATATGAAAGAGAGACTATCGCACAGAAGATCAATAAATCTCCCCATCAAGCTCAGCATAAATGAATTTGGAAAGTTTCTCAGGTTCGTAATTGCTCTAAGACTCACTTTATTCAATAGTAACGGCAGTGCAGCCATAAACTAAAACAGATCTTCTAAATTGCATTTGCATCAACTAACCACAGCAGACATGCTGTAAACATCATCACCAAATGGAGAACGAACCCATGTTTTTTATGTTAATATTATTCTTTATTAGATTTATGTTTATAGAATATAATGTTCGGTTGGCAGAGGGCAAGAATGGAAAATAATCCGTGTGCTTGAGTAATGAGAGAGATGGAGACAGTGAGAGAGAAAAGCATGGGGTGAGTTGTATTCAGCTGTCACTCAGGGTGGGTTTTATGGGTCTAGTACATACTATCAGTGTCTGGATGACAGTCACACCCTATTAATCTCTTCAAGACACTCTCACTCGTTCTCTCACAGGGTGTGTGTGGGTGTGTGTCTTCCCAGTCTGTCAGTAACACTCTGTTTAGTTCCTGTCTCTATGAAGCCCCTCCTTCTGGAAACCACAATGTGCTCTGATTGGTCGATTGGACCAGTGTGTTGTGATTGGTGACCCGCATAATGTTTTGCAGAAATATCACGCCTCTTACCATAACTTAGAGTTTCAACACACTACTAACGCAACTCAACAAGGTCTCTGCCTCTTTTTTTCCCCCCGTACACCTTGGGTGGGGATTGTTTAAACGAGGAATACTGTGACGAGACGTTCCTAGAAAAAAGCTCAAGACTACAATATGAGTTCAGAAATGGTTTTACTAATAAAGAGCATAACTCTCTTTGGAGTGACTTTGTGCTTTGTAAGTTTGCAGAACTTTTTCATGTTCAAACAGCCACATTACACACCAAAGACTGTAAAAATGCATAGGCTAATATAAATAGGTCCTCTTTAAATGAATTCAAGGTAGCAATGTGTTGCATGTTCTCATGGTTTCAGAGCAGTTCACAATCAATGAATACTACACATTTATGCCAATAGATATAGGCCTATAAATGACATAATTATTAAATTCAGTTTTAAGCAGAAATATTTAAAAACTTGGTGTACTTTAGTCATATAGTTTTCTTGGTCTAGAAACTGTTGTTTTCTCTCTTGTCTTTCTTGCTTTGTTTCTCACTTTCGTGTGTTTGGCAGGGAGTGTGACTGTGATTAATGTTGAAGTAGTCGTCCTGTTGAGGACCAGATGCAGGAAAGAAGAAGAGAGGAGACATGTGGATGGTGTGAGATGAGTAGAAGGGGGAAGAGGGGGATGATGAGAGGAGAGCAGTCACAAATCTTTGTCAGGATGGAGGATTCCTGCCAGCTGCGAGGCGGAAACCACAGGAAAACCTCTCGCTTGTGTTTTGGCAGGCACACGATACACACACAAACACACATTCGTCCAGTGTTGTGTAATAAATATTCAGACTTTGAGCCGTATTAGATCAGACATTTACTCACAAGTTGCCCTCCAGCAAAGCAATAAATGGCTAAATGCATGAACACCAACCAGAGGATCGTGCTGTCAGACAGGGTGATTTTAATCAAGTCAAGTTGTTCCTGACCGTGCTCTTTATTAATTTGATAGAATATGTATTTATAATTTATATTTTATAATCTTACAATTTATTTTTATTTTACTTATGTCATATTATGTTGTATTATTATTATTATCATCATTACTGTGATTTATAATTGTTCTAGTATTTGTCATATTTATATATTTTTATATGTTATATTTGTACACATTATACAATACTTTATATTATTGTTATTTATTTATTTTTTAAATGTGGCAGCGCAGTGGATGTACAGGAAAAATAAGAGTCAGCAGCTGTGTGTGTGTGTGCTTGTGGATTTATAAGGAAGGGGATTGGAGCTTCTGCGGTGCTTTAGATAAGAAAATTAAAAATTGATCACAAAGTTCTCTCTCACACACACACACACACACACAGTGAGGGCTGGAAATCTCAGTTTTGCTACACAATGTGTGGAGTGGTAATAACTGCTTTTTGTGTGTGTGTGTGTGTGTGTGTGTGTGTTGTTTAGAAGGTGGATCCTCTCTCAACATGGGGATACAAAAACTGCAGAAAAGCAATTTCACCTCTCAGCCTCACCGCAGCTGTGTGTGTGTTTGAGAGAGAGAGAGAGAGAGAGAGAGAGAGAGAGCACAGCCAGTAATTGCTAATGTGGAGCAAAGACGGGCCAACAGAGCATGAACGAGAGAGAGAGAGAGAGAGAGAGAGAGAGAGAGAGAGAGAGAGAGAGAGAGAGAGAGAGAGAGAGAGAGAGAGAGACTCAAAGGCCACGATTCAGAGCATGGTGACACTTTGCTTGAGTCACCATTTTAAAAAGCATCAGATTGAAGTCTGAATGATGTGTAGAGACAGACTGAGATTGCTAGACAAGATGTTATTTGAATACCCTGTGTGCATGTGTGTTGAAGGGTCATATAAGGGTGTCTTATTTGCTATATACATAGGCGTAATTTGCGGGTGGGACATGTCCCCATCACTTTTGGCCAGAATTGATCTTCTCGCCACCATTTTTTGTTTTAACATCTTGCAGTGTGACTGTACCTAATACAATGGAAACATCTCCAGATGACCAGATTGTTAATTTAGTTTGTTTGTGTTAAATCAGAGGTGATCCAGTGCTGGAATGCGTTGTTTTTGAAATCATGTCGAGTGCGATGTTCTCATGCGACTCGTGCAAAGTCTTCACAGAGACGCGCTCTTCTATCTATCGCTGTTGCGGCGACTCCATTTGTTGCGGTGAAATCACAAAACAAAATGCACACAAACATGTCCATGCTCTTGATTAACTGATAAACATAATTGATTTTAGTAAAAAAAAACTATATATATAAAGGTGGACTACAACCCAGAACCTCTGGCACTCTTAAAAAGTTTCACCACCAGTCCATTAGGACACCCAAACATTGGAAAAAGTAATAGAAAATGGTTTACCTTTTTTTGATGTGTGTATTTGTGTGTGACCATCCATAAATGTCTGCATGTGTGTCGTTTAGCAGGTGCGGGTGTGTATCTGTGTGTGTAGTCGCTTGTTTGACATCCGTATGCTCACTGCAGTCTATTCACCCGTGAAAACAGGCTGTGTGTGTGTGTGTGTGATGGTACAACAGCTGAGCGTACAGTTGTAGCGCTTTGACGAAGCAATGGAGAACAGGAAGAAATGAGGGAGAGCGAGAGGAATGAAATGGGCAGTGGGTTAATTTGGAGGCTGTGCATGTTCACTCAGGTGTGTCTCCCTTACAGACGGAGAGGCGAGAAACACACTGTAGCCAATCAGAACGCTTGAACTGAGAAATGGGCTTCCATTGCAAAGGGCACATTCTCACGAAGCTATTAAACAAGTCCAATCACCCTCTCGTCTGACTCTTTCATCATACTGTGTGTGTGTGCTCCATTTCTGAAAGTGGCAGATCAATTCACTAGCAGTCCACACAGCAGGGAAGATGGCTGTTTGGAATGATTTTTGTATTCACTTGGATTTTCTTCTCTCTCTCTCTCTCTCTTTTGCAGCTCCGTCCATTGTTCCCATAATGCATCAGGTCAGTTCTACGATGAAAAGCATCACGTTGTCATGGCCACAGCCTGAACAGCCTAATGGAATTATTCTCGATTACGAGCTGCGCTACTATGAGAAGGTAAGGTGTGTGTGTGTGTACATGTGTGTATGTCCATGCGTATGCGTGTGTGTGTGTGTGTGTGTGCACGTGTGCGTGTGTGCACATGTGAGTGTGTGTGTGGACTGGTAAACCCTACATTATGGGGACAAAATGTACCCACAAAGATGCCAATATCCAAAATCCTTGTCCTTGTGGACATTTTTAGTGCCCATGAGGAAACTGCTTATAAATCATACTAAGGGATGTTTTTTTGAAAATGTAAAAATGCAGAATGTTTTCTGTGACGGGTAGGTTTAGGGGACAGAATATACAGTTTGTACAACTTTATACAAATCATTATGTCTATGGAAAGTCCCTAAAAACATGAAAAGACAGCGTGGGTGTGTGTGTGTGTGTGTGTGTGTGTGTGTGTGTGCTGCATTTGAGGTAAACTGCTCTTTTGTCTGGATTCCTCCTAGAGAATTATGGGTGTTCTTCACATGTCACATTCATTTTAACACTTGTAATGCAGGACTGCAATTGTGTCAAATGGAAGAAAGGTCGATTTCATTTTAGATTTGATTTGTTTCAATGAACTAATTAAAATAGTGGCTGTGATGTTGGCAACTAGGATATGTTCTGTCATTTGTTTGTCCTGGAACGAGATTTCGGTTTAATAAACAGTGCTAATCGAACTGCAAACCCTAACTATAACCATTTAAAGTCCCCCTGTATTCAAAGACACATCTTTAATCACCAACATGACATATTGAAACGTTTTTTCCTTGAAAGCCTTAAAATAGCTTGAATGTAACTCTACACCCTTGCCTCATTTTTTATATGCGGTTCTATGAATATGTAATCTCAGAGATCCACTCGTTCACATGATTGGTTTCAAAGTAGTTTGTGACATCAGAAACACCAGCGATTTCAAACTGCGTTTTTGAAACTGTCTTTGGTTCACTGCACTTTTAAAGAGAAAATACTCAGCAATGGTGTTGACTTATGAATTTACACATGGTTTGTCTTAAAGCATATTAAAAACCCCACGTAGACATATAAACAACATTAAAAGCTTGATTTTCACCATAGGGGGACTTTAAGAATTTATTCATTTGATGCTTTTATCCAAATATCTTTACCTCACTGCAGTTTTAAAGAGAAAATACAAAAAAATGGTGTCGACTTGTGAATTCACACATGGTTTGTCTTACAGCATATTAAAAACACCACATAGACATATAAACAACATTAGAAGCTTGATTTTCACCACAGGGGTCTTTATGAATTTATGAATTTGATGCTTTTATGTTACATTTTAGCTATGTTCTACTAAACTACAGGGACCTACTCCTCAAATCATAGAGAAATGATTGGTTGATAATATTGTTCAACCCTAAAATCTGATGGTTACAGCCATAAATGTATTAAAAAAGAAATTATTTTAATGACACTTTCATGATGGATAATCTCCAGCCAAAAAGTCCCGCCATGCTTTTGTTTGTTATTGAATATTGTGTGTCTGAAATGTGACATTATAATAGTAAAATGGAGAGTGAAAGTTTGTTCAGACAGTGCATTGAAGGGACGTCTCAGTGACCCCTTTGTGATGTCATTATGATGAAGTGAGGTACAGTGGGTTGCTAGGAGACAGCATTGGCGGGCAGGTGGTCGGGTTCAGCAGTTTCCCGGGCCGGTCCCTGCAGAGAGATGCTGAAACACAGACCCTCTCACACCAATTACACCTAATGATTCCAGAGCCTCCTGTGCTGACACACACACACACACACACACGCTCTACAGCCGTCACCCCTTTTAGAGACATCATGGCAGAGCATGATGGACATGCACAATCACACACATATACACCCTCTCGCCAGCAGTTATGCCTTGTTCCTTGTCTGATGTTTTTTTGAAATGTTAATAAACTCCTAATTACTGCTTATTAATAGTTAGTAGGTAATTGCTAAGTTTAGGTTTTGGATAGGATTAAGGGATGTAGAATATGGGCATGTAGAATAAGGCATTAATATGTGCTTTATAAGTACTAATAAACAGCCAATATCCTAGTAATATGTGTGCTAATAAGCAACTAGTTAATAGTGAGAATTGGACCCTAAACTAAAGTGTTACCGAAATATTCTACACGCCACTTTCATACAAAAACTTTTTGATGACAGCATTTTGTTTTTTAAATACACCAGCTGTTTCTAAAATTTCAGCTTTTCTGTGGTCTGTGTGTCTGTAAGAAAAAATGTAAATGTAAAATGTTTCTAATTATTAATATGTTGAGGTATTTTTAGATTGTAATGGGATAGTTTGACAAATTAATCATATTGAACAGCCATAACAGTACTCATTACTTATGTTCAGAACATAAAACATAAATTACCTTTGCTGTTGTACATGAATCTCTGGCCATAGTTTAATCTAGCTGTCAAATGCATAGACAGATTGTTTGATCCGTGTAGTGAGTTTGACGTGTTTTTCATATGGGTGCTTTTTGACTTTACTTAACTTTTTTTAGTTAATTAGTTGCATCAACACAGGTGTAGTATCATGAATCATGAATACAATTATCAATACACAATATTGCCCAGCCTCAACCTCAATATGTCAACCAAATAAAAAAGCACAATAATTTGTGGGTGTTCTCACACTTGGCAGGTTTGGTTTAATTAAAATGAACCCTAGTGTGATTGCTCTGTTAGTGCGGTTCATTTGAATAAGTGTGACATCGTAACGCTGACATCAGAACCCTGGAGATGGGTTTTGGTCCACTTCCAAACGAACTCTGGTGCGGTTCGAATGAAATATAAACGCTACATGAACCAAAAACAGGACATGATGTCACAAGATGTGACTTGTATGCTCAGTCACACATACTGTTTTTTTTCTCGTCATAGTCATGATGTTGCCCATCACAGTTCGGTACCGGCATCAGAACCACGTCTCCTCACAGCAGATCTGCGAATTCCTCCCGCTGTTTTGACTCCTTGACACATTTTATAATCTCTTCACGAGTTCTCAGCTGGTAAAAAAAAACATCATATGTAGGCTACGCACACACAACGAGCACATTTATCCCTGCACACAGCATTGTTTTGGATGTTTGGTAAGTTCCGTCGTGAAATATACGTAATAAAAGCCGACCAATCAGGTTGTGAACGTACTCCTATGCCTTTAGGTTCGGTGGTATAATGCCAGTGTGAACACTAAGCGGACCAGGACTAAATGTTTCTTTTTTTTTGTGTGTGTCCTCCTGACCAAACAAACCAAGCGAACCGAACTACGAGTGTGAACACACCCTTTAACAAACCATTATCTGACGTTCATTTCCTGTTTAAATTTACCATTGTTAATTGAAATTATATTTTGTAAGTTGTTACACCCAGCCCTGATTAGTAGAAAACACATGCACAGACTTTCTCTTTTTCATGTAGTGACGGAAGTCTACAAACACTGAACTGCACATTTCTCTGGAGGACAAATCTTTAACTATTGTCATTTCTGCAGTGATGTTTGGCAAGATAAATGAGCTACGTTATGAAAATTGGTTTAATCAAAAGCTTGGGGATAATAATGTCTATATCCGGGATTATTCTTTCCTCTCGACAATAGTTTACTCAAATGCAAATAGCACAAGTGCAGCACTTATTTCCTTATAAATATGCATGTCGTGTAATCATATGCTGATTTATAAAACAGGCGAGAAGGAGGAAGGTACTTCAGAATCAGACACCGCACAGAAAATATCATTAATGCGTCTTTCTTTTAGGCATGAAAACATGAGCGATGTGGAAAGCGTGTTTCGGTGCTTCAACCTCATCTGCTCTTTGAGACCTTATAATTACAGACTTGTTCATGTTTTAGAAATATATTGGCAATATTGTTTTGATAACAGGTTTTTTAAAAGGTTGTTTACATGGTTGTGATTAGGAGAGGGTGTAAAGAAGCAGACTGATGGCGCAGACGGCTGTCACGAGGTCTGCTATGTTTATGAGCAGGCCACGCCCATTCTGCCACTCAGTGAACCAATCAGAGACAGAGGGAAGGGCAAGTGTAATGTTTAGAGAAAGATTAACGCTGATGTGTGTACTTTTTCATATATCCATTTTCCATTGGTAACTATCAGTGTCGGGTATCGTTGGATACATTACAAGTATTTATCGTGATTCGTGAATCGTGATTACCTTTTCAAGTTTCAAGTAAAGTTACAACAAAATACCTGAGTTACTTTTTCAGTTAAAAACCTTCAGCCTGAGGCTTATTCATTTAACTTTTTGTGTGAAAGGGCTTTTACATTTGTCAAAAGTAGACCTCAAGCCCAGCCCAGGTGAGAAAGAGTAATGCAAACGTAACATACTTTGAAGTTATCTTTCCTTAAAAAGTAACTAAGTAACACAACTAGTTACTTTAAGGGAATAGCGCCTATTATAACACATTACTTTTATAGTAACTTTCCCCAATAGAAGTATATTCACTACCTATACAAAACTTTAATTGATAAAAAATACAGTAAAACACTAATATTGTGAAATATTACAATTTAAAGAAACTGTTTTCTAATTTAATATAGTTTTAACTCCTGTGATGACAAAGCTGCATATTCAGCATCATTCCTCCAGTCTTCAGTGTCACATGATCCTTTAAAAATCATTATAATATGCTGATGTTAAACATCTAATATAAAATATTATTTTATAGTTACGAATAGAAGATGAAGTAACCAGTTCACCAACCAAGAATCACTATATTTGCAAATTAAGTTAATGGTTTAGAAATGACACACTTCAACTTTAAATCTACAAAGCCAGTTTTTGTTTTTTTTAAAAGGACGAGGAATGCAGTCATCTGTCGGATTATAAATAATGAAATAGAGCACCTGGTGAAGGAGTCATATGTGTGAATAGATTATTCTAGCTCCAGTCGATCTCCTTGCACTGCATCCGTCAAGATGAGATCAGCGCAATTCCGCTCGAGGGTCTTTTTACGGTTGGCTTGACAGCAGGACTGGCAGATGCTTATTCTCCAAGCCA